GCATGTAATGCCTATACAGCCCCACCAAATTCCAGTTTCAATTTCATTTACAATTACATTTTCTATTTGATGCGCCCTACTCTAAGCCCTACAGAGGAATGTTCATTTCATTTTTTTTATGTGATTCTCCGTTGTCAGGGTAATGCTGCTATTCAATATCACTACATCTAATAGTTCCCCTTTTGTTTTCCACATATACTATCCCTAAACCCTGTAGTGTGGTAACTTCATTTAAGGTCCTCCACCCTAATCTCTGAACCCTAAACTTCAAAAAGCCCAGCGGCCGGCGGGACCGCCGAAGATGCATTGCAGCTGGCTTTGTGCGTGGACCAGTCCAGCCGCTGACACTGGGCCTGGACTTTTGGAAGGTTTAGGGCTTCTGGGCCTGGACTTTCCCTATGGCTCCAGATGGCCCAAGGTAGGTACTATTTGTAGACATTGGCGCCCAATGTAGGTATCATTTATAGACATGGAGCCCCAGGATTTAGGGTTGTTGGATTTAGGGCTTAGGCTTCCAAACCTAAGGTTTAGGGATGAGGAATCCGGGTTTCGGGTGCCCCCCCCTTAGAAACAGATGCGCCAATCCAATCCAACATATTAGGGGCAACATTCTTTTGTTTTGGGGGTGGGGGGCTTAGGCGTTCTAAACTCATTGGTGCGCAGCGCATGGCAAAGAAGGACAGCAAATGTCCAATGTGCCACAGACCATTTTGCGCCCTGGAGAATATGAAAGCAAGATCCAGGATGGGATCAACAACAGCTAGTGGCAGAAAAGGGAGACCCTCAACCCTTACTTTAATCCCAGGACCCTAAATCCCTAAATCCTAAATTCATTTATGCAGGTGCCCACGTGCAGATTTAGGATTCAGTTTTAGGCTGCCTAACTAACTGAAGCTACGACTTCGACTGCGACCTTTGAATGACTATGACAATGTTGTTCCTTTGACCTTACATCACCTTAGACGACGTTCGGATTATGAGTGCAAATTGCCACATTGAATGCTTTGCTGATACATCGCTACTATGTGCCACTGCTACGAGGCCAGTTTCTTGCAGTTTCGAGATTCACCGACAAGGGCTTATTTGCAATCAGGACCCGCTCACGGCGTTCATAGCTTGAGGCGTGGAAGTATTGTCTCTTCTCTTCACGTCCATTAATCCAACTGCCTCTTTGCAAGCACGCCCACAAACTTGCTGCACATCCTAAAGTCAACAAGCTCAAGCAGCAGTGTCCATAATGTCTGAAATGCAAACATTCCCCTCAGCCAACCGACCCTCCTGGTAAACAGGGCCGCCTACAAGCCCTCATGAACCCAAGTATTTATAAATTCTTAGACTACATAAAGGCCATACAACCCTAGAGGTCATACATTTATATTCTTATATATATACACATACAGGTACATGTCATGTACAGATAGACATAGGTGATATCTGATATTACCCTAGTGCTCCCAGCTACCTAAATAGTAGGTTACTGGGCTATGTAACTATAGGGAATATGGAACCCAGAACTCATTATTTAGGTAGCTGGAGTCCTAAACCCCAAACCCTAATCCCCATATTACCCCCCCCAATAGATATCAGATTCTTGTATGGTAGCCGGATGACGCAGCAATACGGCGATTTACATCTCCCGCATCTCAGAGGCGCCGGGCTCGCTGAACAAGCCACGCCTGAGAGATCTAGGTTTAGGGTTTAGGGTTTGGGATTTAGGGCTTAGGGTGAGACACTGATGTTATCTATGATTGAGCGTTTTCTCACGTAGGCTCAGCCAGCTGAGGCTACAACAGGGCTTTGTCTCAGTATGCCCAGGGTTTTAAGGACCTTAGTCTTCGTAGGTCTACGGCCTCTAGGGGGGGGGGCCAGTCTCAGTATGTTGAGGGCTTTTGAAGGAGCTTAGTCTTGTAGGTTTCGGGGTTGAGGGGGCATAGCCTTAGTAGGTTTAACACTTGTCAGGTTCAGTCGCAGTAGGTTTAAAGCTTCAGTGGGCTTGATGTGAGTATATAAGCCGTTTTTTTGCAACAAGCTCTTGGAGTCATCGCCTTTGAGTAAGCCCTAAACCCTAAAGCCAAATGGCTCTAGGGGGGCCAACTTTGAGGACTTTGTCAGGGCTTAGTCTTAGTAAGGGCCTAACGTCTTTGCAGGCCTGGAATTTTCGCGAGCTTTTTTTGTCTTACTCGGGTTGGGCTCTAAGGGTTTAATCTTAGTAGGCTTAGGGCCTAGGGCTTTGAGGAGTTCAGTCTACGTCTGTTTGAAGTTCTAGGGGGTTTAGGCCTAGAGGGTTTGGGCCTTAGCCTCAGTTGTTTTGGGACTTCAGGGGACCTAGTCTTAGTACGCTACACTCTGGGGGATTCAGCCTTGGTATGGTTTGGGCTGTAGGGATTTAGTCGATCTAGGTTTGGTGCATTAGGGGGTTGGGCCGCACTGGGTCCAGGACTCCGAGAAAACTAATCTTTAGTAGGGTTAGTTAGGGCGTTAAGGAGTTTTGGCTTTAGTAGGCTTATGGTCATAGTCAAGATCCCTAGCAGTTACGCGTGTGGCAGTTTAACACGCATTTGACGTAAGCCGAGGAAAATCATGCCGTGATTTGTATGTGATCGAACATATCCGGCCGACAAAGCCCTACGCGCGATGCCTTTGAAGCCTCAACCCCGATGTAATGTGATAATCCCAGAATCTTTGGTGTTTTATCAGACGAATCCTTCAAAAGCTGTAGTATTTGGGTATGTATGAGGGGCCCATAATTTTCACAACTAACCTCAAGTGTAATACACGTCAACACTCAATCAAGACTTCAGGCCAAAAATCCATCCTGCTAATGGAGGCGACCTTGCACCACCCCACCTGGGACCTCCATAATCAAGTCATTCCTAGGTCCTGAGGGGTTTAGGGTTTGGGGTTTAAGTAAAAGCGTACAGCGGGTAATGCAAGAGTTCCCCCATCCAGTCTAGCCAAGCTTCATGCCAGTGGTCCTGAATTTGCTACAGAATCCACTGAGTCATCGCCGAACCATGCCATGGATTTGCAAACATCTACTGAGGGTTTCCTGCTGGAACTGAATAGGGGGTGGAAAAACAAAGAAGCTACTATTCGTGTTCTCGGGTTTCTTGCTACTCTTGGGGGGATGGAAAACCAAAAGTAGCTACACTTTTTCTGCTGTCGGGTCTCTTACTGGTGGTGAGTAGGGGCTGGAGGAATGGAAAAGCCACTGAACACTTCAAATTTGTTGGGGATTCTATCTATGGCGCCTAGTAACCTAGTATAGGGGTCCACTCCTCCATTCCCTACTAACAACCATTTCGGTATCGACATATCTCAAGCCTTGTGGCTAATGTGTACGGGCTTGACGGTTGAAGGTTGTCTTGGCTGCAAAGCAAACTCAACCTGCCCTGGGACACTCCCAGGAATCAGTTTGGTTTAGGGATAAAGGTCAAGGGTTTAGCTGAGAGCAGTTGAGCTGCAACTACAAGCCAGCCTTGCAGAAGTTTGTTTCTCCAAGCTTGGGATACGTTGCTGAGATCCGCAATCATATGTGACCCCAAATTGCTGAGGCATATCAAGTAATTGATCGCATTTCTGACGGATACCCCACCCCAGCCGTATCAACAATAAATACGCCCAATGAAGTACCATCATATATTGGCGACATACGTATTATTACGTTGAGGGGATGGATATGGAGGTAGCTACCTAGATCAGCCCCTGCAGAATCAGCATGCCCAGGTTCAAAATCGCTTCCCTTTCCTGCAGGAACAGCCTGAATGACTTTGGATGTTGGCGGACCCTGAAGCTCGGAAAGGTCTCGCACATTTCTGCATGGTGACAGTCTGCTTCCTATCAAATGCACGCATCAGATGTGACATCCTGACTGCATGCCCTCAACTGGTGAAGCTCACAACAGCAGAAAATGCAGTACACGTCTTCATTTTGTCTGCGCCGTCACCCTTCATGCAGGAAGGCCAGTGTTGGAAGACATCTGGGGCAAGGCCGAGAAGTCAACCAAAAGGGTAAACATGCAGAGACAAGTGATCTCCAAGACCTCTGGTGAAAACACAAATCTTTGGCCTACGACATGCACTGGCAGATTTCCGAACAGACATGGGAGCGTGTCTGAAAGCAAGGATGCACAATGCCCCCAGGTCCCTCCTTCAAGCCAAGGCTTTGCACTGTGATCCCCAAAAGTTGTAAATGGAAAGCATGGTACCTTGAGCCGCCTAGTAGATTTGATGTCCCCTTGTCGTTCCTACAGTTAAGGCAAATGGGACTCCCAAGCCTGCATTGGTACCTGCGAAAGTTGCCAGGACCTTTGCCCAGCGCCTGCTACACGGCTGTTAGCCCGACCAAAGGCCCCAAGAGAAAGTTGCTTCGGCTGTACGACCAAGCTACATATACATATATATATATATATCATGTGTGGACATGCCGCCGTATTTTTGCATTGACGCATCTAACATAGCCGGTTTGTCTAACTAGGACGTAACTAGGACATGTCTTTAGGTGCCTGTTCGGGGGAGCATGGTTCGTAACCACAAGCACCTAGCCCCGAGGTACGACCAGGCTTTAATGTCCTCTTCCAGTTTTCTATTAGGCTCAGGCACCCCATGCAGAACAAGGGGAACGAGATAAACATCTTGCCCACATGATGCCTTCGAACTTGTACGCAGTTCTACAAGCTAAACCCGGTGTCCTTGCAACCCCCCAAAATGACAATTGAGCTGTTTCAGGAATGCTTGCTAAAGACGGAGGTCACACTCCCTATATCGCCCATCAATAACCACAGTTTCAATGCCATCTTCAATTTGACTTTTCACATGACTCGGACACTACCTCTAGTGGGGATACTAACCCAAAGCATGCTACTAAGTCCTAATCTAGAAGCCCTACTTTATACGATTTCGATACTTAAGGTGATTTGGAAACTTAGCCTGAACCCTAAACGCTAAGGGGCAAGGGATTGTTCTCCCCTTCCTCCTTCCGGACTCAAGCCGATGCGGCTTCTAGTCCAGGTCCGCCAGCTCATTCTCGCCACCTGACAACTGGAATATGCTGTATAATCCCGCTTAAGTAGATAGGTTATGGCTTTGGATGTATTATAACAAGATCCTCATATACCGCATATTCTATCTACTTAAGGGGACTATACGGGCGAGGGCTTCAGGAAATTTGTTTCGAAGATCAGGGTCCCTTTCGGAGTTACCTACGATGGAATGCTCTAGTATGCGGGTGATATATGACTCTATGCTTGAAAAAACTCCCATTCTGTTGGGGCACGATGGAACATGATCCTGCTTCATCTACATTATGTTGGGTTCAGGTATGTAGTCCCGCCTAAGTAGATAGAATATGGGGTATATGGGGATCTTATTATAGTATACCCAAAGCCATATCCCATCTACTTAAGGGGGACTGTAGGCTCTGGACTATCATGCAACATCTTATGCAAAACCACCGCAACCGCCGCCGTCCCCGCCTGCCCTTGCCCCCGCCACACGGAATCTATTCTGAGCATGCCAGGCCTGCTCATTAGTCCACTAAGAAAAGGGTTTAGGGTTTAGGGTTCAGGGTCTAGGCTTTAAGGCTTAGGGTCTGTTGTTGGGGGATCTGCACTGCGAATCGTGAGGTGTAGGAAGGCTTCTGTCACGAAGCAGATACAGCCGCAAGCGCTCCACAACCCAAACGAAATAGTACTTTCAACAATTGCGCCATTGGAAGTGATTCTGCAAGCTGCGCTTGATTAACCCAAAGCAGCCCCAAAGGGTCCATGTACTCAATAATTAGGGTCCCCTTTAAAGGGATCTATAGGGGTATATAAGGTTTAGGGTCTAGGATCAAGAACTTCGTCAGGGAATCACTCTGAGAGGCCTAGAGCTGGCTGCTGAAACTACAGTGGCTACTGAAAATTAACCTTCCCAAGCCAGTGGGTACTGCCCCCCCAATAACAGTCTATATTAGGGGTCCTATTAAGGGCTATATATAACAATGTTATAAATATTAATATTATCCAACTGTTACTGAGCGGGGGCAGTACCCAACCAAGCCACATGGTCTGTAGAACACATTCGAAAAAAAAGCTTTGAACCTTAATGACGCCTGACACGATCTGGGCGTAGACACTGTCTAAAAGGTGGGAAGCCCAGAACACACAAAATCCTTCTGGAAAGCACATGTTCTATCTTCCGAAGCAGGACTGTCACCCCTAAAGTCCTGAGCCTCCTTTTCGGGCAGCTGCAGCGGCCGCTTTCTTCTGGTCCTCCCTGTAGGCTTCCTTAGTTTGTTGTAGAGGATGCACAGGGCCAGCTATGTCTGCTGAATAGGTCCTTTCGTAGCTGTATGGTGGCGTTAAATTTGTACTTGAAAATCTGGTTCGGGGCCCTGACTCAGGGGCTACAATGACATGCCAGACCTTGTGATTTATGAAGGGTGGAACATCTACGCGGTAGGCTGCCTTGCCTAAAGCTTGTTAGACCATGTAACAACCCTAAACTTCTAAACCCTGGACCCTAAACCCCTAATCCCTAGACCCCTAAACTCTAAACCCCTAAACCCTAAATCCCTAAACCCTAAACTCTTGAAGCTAAAACAATGCCGTCCAATCTCACGTGCAAGGCTCCAGCCTGGGGCCGCGCTCGTTTGAAGCCGTTGTACAAATCACTGGGTCGCTGTTGAGGGACTTGAAATGAGCTAATATAGGGGTAATATGGTAGTTTCCCTGAATAGGGGGACCCATCCGTATTATTGGGACCCCCAAAGAGGTACCCCTAATTTTGGGAAACTCCCATATTGACGTAATGGAAGAGAACATGGAAACTACGACTTAGGTTTTAGGGTGTAGGGTTGACTGGGTTGTCCTCGCTATGGAGAATCAAATGGAAAAGAACATGGAAACGAAACGGAAACAACGGAAACAAATGGCACAGCCGGACTGCCTAGACTCAGAACTCCGTACCAGGGCTGCAATAATTTCACACCCAAAGCCATGTTCTATCTGCTTAAGGGGGACTATAACCCCAACATATACCCTATTGTAATATAGTAGTTTCCATTTTCTTTTCCGTTATCCCTATAGAACCCCAATAATAACATACCCCATGTTACAGGTATGGCGCGCACCTCGAAGCTCTGAAATGTGCACGTGTGCAATGCCTGACCACCAGACACATACCCTAAGGGTCCATGTACCCAATCATTAGGTCCCTTCAGAGGGGACATATGGAGGTATATAGGTGTATGTGGGGTTGAGGGTTTAGGGTCCATGCACCCAATAATTAGGTACTTGGGATTTTGGTAATGGTAATTATAGTACAGGTTTTGGGTAAGCATATGATTGTTGGGTACTTGGACCCTCAGGGATACATTTAAGAAGCAGAGCTTAGAAGGCCATACAGCGACCGAGTGATTAAAGCTGGCAAATTTGTGACCCTCAGAACTGCTGGCACAGAATCAAGGACTGAAGCGGTACAAGCTGCCGTGCTGACCCGATCCCCCTACTCCAAACCCCTAAACCCTCGAGATCTTTCTGTCTGCAAATTATGAAATATCCAAGTGAATGCTCACCGAACTCCCCTTCTCCAGAATCCTAAGCGCCTTCAGAACTTCAACATTCAACCAAATCCATGAGTTCTGCCCTCACTTCAATTCAAAAAGGCAAAGTAACCTGCAACAGCTGGCCGTACATCACAGCTAAGTCTCGCTTGCAGCAGCATTAGCTGCATCAACGGCAAGCTCGGCCTCCTGGAAATGGAGGTGCTTCTGAAAACTAGGGTGCACCTAGATTCTTCTCTGCACTGAGTGAGGCCCTGCAAAAGGAAATCGTAGTTGTGCAAAACTTTGGAACGCCAAGTGCCAAACTTTATTGTGGTGTGACTGGCCGTGGGTTTGCCAATTACAGGAAAGACTAAGGGTACGGTTCAGGGCCTATTCCACACAATATGTGGGTTTCTCAACTGTATAGTTCTAGGAGGATTGTACGGAATTGGTACTGATGATTACTTGAGCTTGTACATGCGTGCCTTAGGCTGTTAAACTGAGAACTTGGGCAAGGCGGTTGAGGCAAGGTGCTGGTAGACTTTGCAGGGTGCTAGCTCTGTGAATTCGGTGAGCCAGGTGGGTCCCCTGATCTTCTCTTGGCCCTAAAAAGTTAAAGACTGTTGAAAAAGACTCGGAACAGCAACAATCAAAAGGACCATAGGGAGTTTCCAAAAAAGATGGACCTCTTCTATACTCCAATAAGCTAGCAACCCTTATTATGGGGACCCACAAACGGGATCCCGCATTTATGGAAGTCCCATGCGCGGGGTTAGCCTGCAATACATCCTCAGTCTCACTTTGTTCGATCAGGAGCATGATTAAGAAGCTTACGCCCCCCGATGCTTGGCCATGAGTCTTGTTTGGATCCTTGTCCAAGGGACCGCTGATGCTTCATATCTTCATTGGATCAGCCACACATCCTAACCCTAGGGCTCCATGCCTATAGATAATACCTACATTTGGCCCCAAAGTCTATAAATATGACCTACATTGGGATACTTGGAGCCTTAGGGTAAGACTTGGGGTGCAAACGCTTGTTGCTCCCGCACCTTGTTCTTCTCCTCCAAATCTTTCCAAATGTCGGGGACCTTAGCAGACTGGAAGGGGTGTCCTGTTCGGACAGTGAAGACGAAGCGCGTCCACGCGCATCAACATAATGAGATTGCAGCCTAAGCCCTGCTCCATAAAGTCACAAAGAATGAGCAGAGCGTGAAACGCCCAAAGTCGAACTTCTCCATGGCTGAAATCTTACATTTCACCTTCCAGCTCGGAACTTGAAAGGCCGGACGCACAACGCAGCACAGAAATGCATGGAGACCCCCACCCCGCACTCAAATAGAGTCTGGCAGGCTGTTGGGGCCTGGGAGTCCTGAGAATGAATTCTGAGATCTGAAGAAAGGGCAAGGGCTTGGCGCAACACATCGGGCTCTACTTCTCAAAGGGTTCATGTAACTGCATATTACATGCTTGGGCCAGAAGGCAGTTACATGGAAACCTCTCCGGCGGGCCCTGAGTACATACTGCATGCCCACACAGAGCTATTGGGCTTCTTTCATTTGAATTTCAGCAGGAAACTGGGTGGAAATTGTAAGTTAAAATTGCTGACCTATTTGAAATGCTTCTGGGGTCAAGAGTCGAGATTTGAGAAGCTTTTGAAGGCATTGCTCCTCGGAGCTACACACGATTTCATCAAGGAGTTCCAGGCCCGCCAAAAGAAGAGTCTTTTTGCCAACCCATTTATCAACATAGTCTCCACATGTGCAGTCTTCAAGGTTTAGGCAAGCCTCATGTCCAAACTTGTGAACTGTCTGTGAAACCGCACCCCTACCCAAAGCCCGAAACAAAACGTCAGCCCTAAATCTCAGTCTCCAGCAGCACAAGAAAGGATTCGTTTTGCAGTGATGTACGGACACCCATACCGAAAAGGAACAAGGACCCTTCACGCGGCCCCCACGCCCTTTTGCATCTGGATTGCCCCTAAACCCTAAACCCTCAACGTATACATGGCCCTCCTCTAGGTTGCTGTTAAGGAACTTAATTTAAGTTACTATATTGGGGAAAACCTATTATTTACTATATATATCCATTATGGTAACGTAATTTAAGTTCCTTAACAGCAACCCAGTCCTTCCTGGCATAAGTGCAAGACCACAGCGCCGGCCAACTCTGCCAAGCCCTTCTTTTCCGTCAGCGGCTTCTGTCCGGGGTTAGGGGGGGCTGGTGTCTTAGGGATTTTGCGGTTTATGCTTGGTCCCCCAGGAGTTTAGGGTTCTAGGGATTATAATGTGTAGGTGTTTTAATCAGGGTTGAGGCAGTCTGGGATAGTAACATGAGGACCAAACAGCCTAAGCAGGATGGACATTTTGCTGGCGACGGCTTTTCATTGGGCGCTGAGGGTTGCCTTGCGTGGTTTGGGCTAAGTAGGTGGCTGGGTTTGAATTAGTAGCGTGGCTGCCATAATGGCGAGAGATCCACATTTTCTCCGGGCTCAGCAGCACTACTGACTTCCCTCTATCGGAAAAAACCCATTAAGACTAAACAACAAATCTAGGGGCCTCATTTCCTGGAAGACATCGGCTAAACGGAAAAGACTACTTCAAAGGGGCCACTTAACTAACCCACCCTTGTACTCAATGAGTGGGCTGGGAGAGAACCAGGTGGATTAGAATGAGGGATCGAAAGGGGTTCGGGATCTCTTTGATTTTTTGCTGAGCTGTCGCTCTGTAATGTTTTTGGTACATTAGCTTTGTCAAAAGAAACGGATTTCCTTCATGTCCCACATTCTTCATGCCTTACAGGGCTGTTATGAAGAGTTTAGAAATGGTTCAACTCTCATTTGAAGGAAATAGTCGCAATCACGATTTAATCAAAAAGATCCGAATATGACTCTTGAATAATGCGTGATGTTTCAGGCCGGACAGAAGTTATTCTCAGGGTGAAGGGCGAGCGCACCTTTCATTGTTAGAGGGAGGCGATGAAACTGACGAGCCCATACCACAGCGCAGGCAATCATAGCATGCCCTCATGCAACCTTCAGGCACTCCGTGCAATGCTCCGTGCAATGCCTTGACTTTATCACGTGGTGTAATATTGCAAGATGAGCAACCCACCTTTACACGTAGTACAGCCGCTTCATATCTCCTCCGTGATCTGCCTGACTAAATGCTCTAGATGGTGAACAACAAACCCGAATTCCCTGATCCTGAAAGCTATTGTTTCTCCTCTCTGTTCCTGTCCACCTCGCAAGCTACAGCAAGCAATCTTCAACCAAACTATGATGCTTGAAGTGAATGCTCCGAGGTTCATGGGTCTTTACAACCAAGGTTGTGAAGATCCTAACTTGAGGCAAACATTGTAGCAAAACTATAATAGCAGGAATTAAACTTATAACCTTGGTTAAAACTATCCATCAGTCTACAAGTGCTAAGAGGCAGCCAATGTCCATCCCTACGATGTCCTGCCGAAACGGAAGTTAAGACTGAAAGCAACTCGTGTTCTTGTGGCTGCAACTGTGAACTTCACACTTCCACTACTTGCACTACGACTCGCTCAGCATGGTTTCCATGCCCTTGCCACGGTTACCACTGAAGATTTCTAGTTGGGGAACAACGTTATTGGTTGGCTTTAACAAGGCTTACAACCTTTTGCAGGTACATGGAGGGCCCACCTCGTGAGAACCACTGATGCGCACCGCACTCGCACAATTCTGTCAACCTCTCTCTTCTTCTTCTTCTTCAGGCCTCTCTTTCTCTCTCGCCACCCTCCTCTGGCTACGTTGAGCTGCCTATCTACGGTGCCCGGCCTTCTTAACCGCCTTGGGTGCCTCCTCGGCCTCCGCAGAGTCAAGCCTCGGGTATCAAATGATCTGGCTTTGTCACATGGTTTCATCAACAGTTCTAGACACATGTTTGCATCAACAGCTCTTTAAACACGCGCAGCAGCTTGTTACTACAAACATCATCAAAGCAAACGGTCGCAAGTCATGTCATATAGGGTGCTAGAACATGCTACCACTGTGCATGTTTGCTCTTGTCAGCTTGGACGGCCAGCCATCAATCAGGGCCTGTGGAGACTAGAAGAGATATAGCCCCCCTTAAGTAGATAGAATATGGGGTATATGGGGAGCTTATTACAATATACCCAAAGCCATATTCTATCTACTTAAGGGGGACTATATCTCCAGCCCCAAGGATGGTGTCAAAAACCATGTCGGGGCTTGTTTCCGAAGAGCAATGGAGGAGCAAAAGCTTTCAGCTTGTGAAGCATTCAGAGTATCCAAAGCTTGCACCCAAAGCTAGACCACGTTTTGTCTTCTGAAAATTTGCAGATGGCCGGCAAGCCTGCCTACAGCGAATCTACCTCACAGCTAACAAGCCTTGGTGTATCGACGATAAGGTGTTTTAGGACCTCACCTCCATTCTCAATGTTAGCTTCACTGCTCCGGTAGCTTCGACTGTTACTCTTACTCTTCAAGCTTGAAAGCACCTCACCTTTCCATTCGCAACTACACTGCTTAGCACTGTAACCAAGAACCCCTTATCCAGAAGCATCATCATGTGGCCGGCCAACCAGGTATCGCACACAGCGAATTGCCTGTCTGTGTGGTCGTCTGCAGCACCTGGATCTTTCTGTAAATGAACCCTGCATATTCCCCAAGGAGGACGCCCAAAGCCCCCCCATGCTCCCTGTATACCCCCGAGGTTTTCAGGGACCCCTCCCCCCTTTTGAGAAAGTCTTACCTATGAAGTCTTTTCGGACTGGTCTTGTTCTGATTTTGAATTTTTGAAAGAGCACCTTCTCTCAAGTGCATATGTAGTGGATGTACGTACAGCTCCCTTGACCTAGGAAGAACATTTTTCAGGGTTGTTTGCATCAGCTGGCAACATGACGGCTCCCAGGCCCTTCGCTGAAGGTAGTGCCATTCAAAACCACCAGGCCCCCAAGTGTAAAACATTGCTGTATGGTCCCTGGATCCCAGGGCTCCATGTCAGAAAGTGAAGCAAGTCAGAAGCTAAATCCTCAAAGCTCTCCTGTCCCAGCAGACCGACTCCCCGAGAGCTTTGCACAAGTTGGCCTTCCCATTATAGTAACTTCCGTGTGTCCTACTGCCAGAACTGGAGGTTTCCCTAAACTAGGGGTACCTTTTCAGTCAAAATGGGGGTAAGTGTATTTTGGGGCCTACATTTGGGCCCCCTTATGTAGGGAATCTACCAACTATAGTTCCCTGAAACAACTCATTCTGCTACACAAACATGGAACAGGAAACTTTCCAGCTCTGAGGAATGAGCCACTGGGCTGCACGAAGTCGGCCACCTGCTGCAGCACTCAATCACAGCTGGTGGTTTCCCAAAATTAGGGGTACCTTTTTCGGGGTCCCCATAATAAGGACTGTAGCATCTTGGGGTCTATATTAGGGTTCCCCCTATTTAGGGAAACTACCAGTTCCCTTCCTGCCCTTCCTTCCTGCTTCTCAGTGGACTGCTCGAGAAACATTGGGTTGCGGCCTGCGGGGCCAGTTGAGCCTGTCTTAATCAAATCTGAGGACCGTGCCCACTGGTTAAATGCTCCAAGACCCTCAACTGTGAAGGGCCAAGTCCAAGCTTCCTAGAACTAACATACTGTACTGCCAACTTCCAAGTTGTACGGTAACAAGGGTCATGAAAGATTCTTGTCATCAACCAGGGAACCAAACCCTAAACCTTAACTTCTAAACCCTGTACACTAAACTCTAAACCCGAAAGCCCTAAACTCTAAACCCTTAAACCCTGAACCCCTAAACCCTAGATAGTAGTTTCCATTTTAGTTTCCATTATCCCAATATAAGCCCAATATAACCCCTACATTATTACCCCTATATAACCCGATATATCCCTTTCAAGGGGCCTAGGGTTTCCATTTTATTTTCCCTTACCCCCATATTATATAACCCTGTATAACACCCATCCCCCAACCCAGCAACGGCTTCTGGGGCTGAGGCTGCTGATGCCTTGGCTGCGGCAGCCGAGCCGGCTGTGCGCCTGGCTGGGGGGACTCTCCACTTGGGCCTGGGGCTAAACTTTTTTTGTTTACAACCCGGTGGACTCTTTTCGTGTCTGGCATGCGCTCGGGGGTCCTAGCTTCCCTGCCAGTTAGTCTTGTCATTCCCCTTCAGTACTCAATGTTCAGGATCAATGCTGGTGTCTCCATGTTGGGGCCCCCGTTCATCTTCAGCATGGTCTAGAGGTCGCGTAGTCATGCCTCCACCGGGCCCGTCAGTAAGGAAAGCACATCACTACTCCCACTACCTACGCTCGTACCAATCCATGTCAGTGTTCATGCCTCGTTCTCATAGTGCATTCAAACTTGCCCCGCTTTAGGGTTGAGGGATTTAGGGTTTAGGGTTTAGGGATATGTAGGAATAAATGGACAAGATTCTAGTAACATAGTTTTTTTTCCTTCGCAGCAATCCACGTTCTCAGGGTCTGGGATTTTGGGCTTACGGTTCTAGTGAGCGAGAAAACAAAAATGGCAGCTACCATATGATTGGCGCCCAGGATAAGGCTTCAAGGTTTCATCTTTGGCGAGGAATGGGACACTGGAACTGAATAACTGCAACAGCAAGGAGAGTAGGGTTTGAGATAAGGGTTCTAATAGGGTCTAGTGGGGATTGGAGAATGAAAAAGAACCAAGACACTGCCATACGGTCGGGGACTTTTGGGGCGTGATAGAATGTGAGATGATGTGAGGTTTAGGTGGGAATGGTGGAATGGGCTACTATACATGGTTATACAATTATACAGGGATGCTTTTGTGGACCCCGTAGGGATCCAATTCCCATCCCCAGCTAAGCATTAGAAAGCATATTGCTTGCTTGATGGTTTAGGGGTATCCAACGGTGGTTGGGTTTAATTCTACATGATGCAGTGCCACAGGCTTTGTGCGTTCCTCGCAGGAAACTAGATTTAAGATTGCAAGGGCCAAAGGCGTCGAGGGTAAAACTCCCAACGCCGAAGGTTTAAGAGCTGCGTGGTTACATGTTGCAGGGACAATCATAGGTCCATAGGCTTGTTCTCCAACTCCCAAGTCTGAGACAAACCCCCAACTACAGAGTATGAAGACATATCCTGCCCAAAACTAACCTAGAGGCCCAAAACGGAAGTCCTACAAAAGCTAATGCCCTAAACCCTAAACCCTAACATTGGTCTCCATGTTGTGGGCTGGCACAAAGTAAGGTAGGAATCCCCCCCCCCTCCACCCGAAACCCCAAGCACGCTTTTGCAAGAGGCTTGTGGGGTGGAGCTCCAAAAGCACCCTAAACCCTAAACCCGGAACCCAATACCCTAAACCTGCAATCCCCAACCCAATTAATTAAGTATTCGTTCAATAATTCCTGAAGGTTATACGATCAAAAAATGACACATAATTCCTACGAATAATTTCTTAGGAGTGAGACTACAGTGAAGTCCAACACCTAAGCCCTAAAACCTTTAACCCTAAACCCTAAATCCCCGACGCTAAAAACCTAGAGCCTAAAACCTAAACCCTAAACCCTAAACCCTAAAACACTAAAGCCTAAACCCTGGGCTTCAACCCGACAGGGTCACGGAGGCGGCGCGAAGAGCTGCTTTTTCGGCTCTGCCTCCTGAACCGGGCATGTTTAAGGTATACATTAGGTGGGGTTTAGGGTTTAGGGTTGGACCCCTCACCCAGTAAAAGTGTTTATAAATTATGTTAGGGTCCTCCTGAATTCCTAGTATACCGCTAGTACAGGTTAGGGGGGCCACCTGAGGTATACATATCATTATTCCTCGTGGTTACTATTAGCGGGTGCAGGGTGCCCATTTCCTACATCCCTTTATGCAACCAGTCTGCTTCACTGCAGGATCACGAATCCTACGCGGGCCTTGTCAATGACCACCCCGTTTCATCCTCATGATTGCTCATCTCTTGCTGTGATGAGCACAGAAAGGATCTGAATATACAACGAACAACCGCGGCGAAGTTCAAATCGAAGGAGAGGGCTTCAGTGTCAGGTTGCGGAAGGCTAGGAGAGGTCTTGGGGCTGGGGGTTGCAGGCTCCAAGAATGCAAGTCCAAAGGGGTTTCAAAGCAACGGTGCATGAAGGCTTGGGTTTGTGTGTTATCCACATGAACACCCTCCGCAGCAGCAACAGCATCAGACCATGTGTGCAGACACTGGCACAAACTGCCACACTTCTCAGCAACCTTCACTCAGGTCATACTTGTAAAGATGGAAGTCTCGCGACCGTAACCCTGTTATCCCCATGCGTGACAAAACGCACTTGAAACCTTTCAATCCAAGGTATGCGTGTGAAGCCTTCTGGAGCCTCGAGCATCTTTTAACCTTGATGGTGAAGGTACACTTGGCACGTCTTCGGGCTTTCAAGTCTGCAGTACCCCACAGATCATGAAGAAGACCTGACGTCCTACCGCCTCCTTGGATCTAGTTCACCCATTGAAACGAGCTTTGCTATTGGGTAACCCGTGCAGCAGTGCAAGATGCTTACTGCCTCATGGCCGCTTTATCAACATCTAGCTGGTTCAGCAGGCTACCTATCATGACAACTGAGCCACCGGAGCACTCCTTATCGCGCAGGGACTGACAACCTATTGCTTTTCTGTGGTTCCGCATGGTTGTCCTGCATGCAGGCCGAGGTCCTTTGGACCAAAACCAGCATGGCGGACAATCGCTAGCCCCTGAGCCAAACTTTAACATAATGAGCATGAATACAACATATCCACCTCACTCAGTGCAACAAGTTCCGGTACACATAGATGGAATCCCGTTGGGCAGTCATGTGTGGAAAGAGCTAGAGGTCAAAGCACTCATTATCTCCCTCACCGGGCAGCCGAAATGTCAGTGGGATCTCATGACCCGTTGACCGCGAATGTCGGCGTAGATCTTCTGTACAATCAAACGACTTCTGACCTCAGCTTAGAGGTTACAAAAACCCCTTTTGCCTCTAAGTAATATGGGGATTATGGTAACCCTAACCCCCAAAATTAGGACCCTATAACCATCATATGATAGTCATAGGGTCCTAATTTGGGGGGTTGGGGTTACCAAAACACCCTTATTACTCTAAGGAGGGGATGAGTTTTCTAGCACACCCCACTACGCAACTGGCCGGGTCTTTTGGTTCTGGAGCTGAGCTGGCTTCATAGGCTCAAAACCGGGTTTCGGGTGGACCTTGCCGCCTTATGATTAAACCCAGCATGCGAATCACCTGAGCCATAGTCTAAAATCCAGGCATCCCCCTTGATAACCCCTACATACCCCTATAGTAGTCCCCTATATAATCCCTTCATAACCCCATTCAAGGAGTTTAGACCATGCAAGTCACCTGACTCCTATCAGGCCAGGCTGCAGCGTGAGCAACGGTACTGCCCCGGGTGCGAAGACTTCTCGTGCTGGCGCAGTTGCTGTTTTCGGGTCTGCGCTTCGTGGCAGAGCATGCAGTATGGATACGATCGCACGGTGCCTGGGGCATGTAATGGAGGCAAAGAAGAACTACTGCGCAACACCGGCGTGATGATGTTGCGCACTTTGGGGCAGGCCTAGACGAAATCCTACCGTTTCTGATTCACCTGCACTGGCCAAGAAACTCGGGTAGTTGTCAGAATTATCTGACAGCCCTCCATACTACTACCTCGGGATCCCGAAGGTGACAAGACTTTGAGAAGTACCTACCCCTGAACCTCTGCGTCTTTGATAACCTATACTTTTCACATACAAAAATATAAAACCTACTTTGGACTATTTGCATACCCATGGTACCCGACTGGCTATCCTTGGGCACGATGAAGGTGTCCGGAATTGGCTCTGATTTGCCTGCCGCAGACGATGCTGCGCTTGACCGGCCTGCGCGTTTAAATACTTGTCTTTATTGAGACCTTTCTTCTCAACCCTAAACCCTAAACCCTACAACCTTAACCCTAGACCGCCCAAAGGGTTTAGGGGTTTAAGGGTTTTCGAGTTTAGGGCTTAGGGTAAGGTTTCAGGGCTCCAGGAAAAGGAACAGCCGGCATGTTGTTGAATGCTTGCTGGCGGCTAGTAGGAAAGAAGGAATGGAAGCCAAAAGGGATGCTACTAGTGAGTATCTTAAAGTAGGCTTCATAATGAAGACTACTCCATGGATGAATTCCTCTTTTCGCTGCTGAAATTTGAGTTCTTATCCACCGCTATCAGCGAGGCATCTGTGGCACTCTCTTGGAGCATATTTGTTGGAACCCCTTGCCCCCTGCGATTTTTTTTGACAAATCATCAAATCTGATCGCAGGAGGCCGGCCTCCTCTGGCAGAGTCGCAGGAGGTCTCATCCTCATCAGGCCGACGGATAAAGTAGGTCTCCTGTGGCCGGAACCTCGTTGTTGAAGCATTCAAGCTAAAATATCAGCATGCGCACGAAGGCACAAGATGAGCAGGTACCGTAGGGGTGCGGACAACTTAGGTTCTGCAACCCCACAGCTACACTGAAATGGCAGGGTTCTGAGCTTCAGGCTGAATAGGGATTCTGTGAGACATCTTCCTGGAATGCCGCCGCAAATCTGCACTGCCCTTGCACTTCTTTGGGCAATCCAGGCAGTTGAAAAGGCCCTGGTGACCCTGTTCATGCTGCTTCAAGTCCTTTGAAGATGACCCGACACAAATTCCGCAGATTCCACACCATGGCCTGGGCAGCTTAGAGTGCAGGTCGCTGGGAACAATGTAGCTCATGCAGCCGGGATCGATCGCGGGGAGCCGCTGTGGTTCAGGTACCTCCCGGTTTCGCCATAGTTGCGAAGGCAGCAGGCATGGGTGCAACAAATGATGCTGACCATTCCAAACCACTGCTTCGAACGTGCCATCTGGCGTAGCTTTGACTATCGTTGCTGGCAGAACCTGGCCCTGCATTTCAACGACGAACATCCACTGCATCATCGTACAACGCGCCAGGTAATCCCGGTACCTGCCAGAATGGGTTGGTACGGCCGACGTTGTTTGATGGCGAGGCTCACATTGCTCTTCGCGAATTTTGAGGAACCATGGTCCATATTGGTTCGACTTTAATGGACTTATGAGTTCTCGGATTACAGAGACTTTTGTCGGTGTTTTGGAAATGAAAATTATTATCGTCATAATGAAGATGGTTGCCTTCATCCTCGCGAGGTTCACAAGAAAACTCTATCATCTGCCCCCCTACCATTTTAACTTAACCTACTGCCAGCTTTGGAAAACCGAAATGTCTCGTTGTTCCGCACTTGGACTTTTTTTAAATTAAGTTACATTTTAAGAAGAAACCCCATTTTTAACTATAAGCCTATGAGATGGTAACATCAACTAAATTTCTTGACAACAACCCAGTCTTAGGGTTGCCTGTATAGACATCCCAGCGCCTGCTCTCGGTCAGGTATCGCTCAGCTGCAGCCTGCCGCTGCTGATCGTGAACTCGCTGGGCATATTCCTCACTTTTCGGAATGCGTAGCGTTAAAGTACTATAGGTGTATAGTCCCCCTTAAGTAGATAGAATATGGCTTTGGGTATATTATACTAAGATCCCCATATATCCCAGATTCTATCTACTTGAGGGGGACTATAAGTGTTTTGCATACTAATTGCCTGTAGAGTACAGGCCACTGGCATAGCTGACCAAGTCTGTCCGAAGGCATTGAACAGATTGACCCCAGCACTGGGCGCATTTAAGAGGGATTTCACATTTGGCGTTAGAACGACCAAGTACATGCTTCCTTGGGTAATAGCAGCGGGCAGTGATTATAAATTAGACCTGGTTTTCAGGTTTGGTAAAAATTGTCAAGGAAGTAGGCACGCCATAAAGACGAAAAGCATTTCAATGCTATTGGCAAGGCCAGAGCTTCGTCCATGTACAGGCTGACTGCGCTCCTACCTTCAAGCATGACTGGGCTTCGTGGGAGGGGAATGGTGGTCAATCTCTGGACCATCCCAGCTTTGTGCCCCCCACTTTCCGTTCGCAGTTTTTCGCCATTCTTGCTCTTCATCTCAAATTCGTGCTGCTCGTCCCAACGGAGGACCCTGACAGGAAGCCAATCCACGTTGCAGTGCTTGAAGGCATAGAGCCTTCTGTTGTCAGCTGACCAGAAGGCACCTTGGTGCCATGCCACGCGTACGCGTGGCACTTCACGCGGCTGTGTATGCCCCTTCAGTAGATTGTCGATGAGCTCCATGATTGGTCGTTGCTGATGCGAGAAGCTGTCATTGACTTCCTTCTGTGTGAAGCAGATGTCTTGCACACGGATCAGGCGATCTCCAACAGAAATGTTTTCACCGTTGTCCAGGTCATAGTGCCAAGGGAGCATCGCATCCTCAAGCATTTCTCTGCAAACAGGACGTACTAGTGGCACAACGAGGTTTCATCCCAGCATGCTCTCAGTGACGCCATGCATCTCGAAGGCACATGCTGGATGATGTTAGTAACAGACGTGAGGTGTTGAATGCTGCGAACACTGCCAAGATACTGGATTCAAGCAGCGTATAAGAGTCTACGTCATGTCAGCGACTGCTTAGAGCATTCACGGTTTGTTGTGCCTCGCTAGGTACATCATCAAGCTACTGTAAGTTGGCACACAAATCGGGCTTGATGACAAGGATCTTGAAGAGCTTTAGGTTGCGCTAGCCCAGTCCATACGTGTTGGCTTGAAACAACTGATCTTGCGATCAACCAAAGCCTGCTGCGCAGCAGTCATGCAGCAGGTGGGGAATGACCCAACAAGCAATCTCACAGTGTTCAGCTCCTTAAGAACAAAATGCCTCTTCCTTACTGAATTAAAGCTGCTGCGAGTCTGGCTCCCAAGATCTTCATATCATTTGGCATGAGTCAGATCATGTACTACAGAACGAGAGCCCTCGTTATAGCAAGGTTTTTGTTGAACACACATTTAGGTCCAAACCTTGTTCTGCAGATTGGATCGAGGCTGGTTTGCAGTTCTTGTCTTGGTCATGAAAGCCTTCACTCTAGGGTCCGCCTCGCAAATTGGCTTAATGGCACGTGCTCCATGCAAACAATGTCAAATGCGGTCATCACACTGAAAACCCCCAACCTATCACAACGACACCGTTCCCACCTTTTCGGTTGGTGACCGTGGCAGATGCTGCACCTGGGACAGGCAATCCGTTTGTTGACTGTGGGTGCCAGGAAAAGCCTCAAAGAGTGCATATTATTGAATGAAGGGAAGATCATGTGAGAAAGCCTTGAAGCTTTTATGACAAGGTGGACATAGGGTATGGCACCGAAACGAATTAAAGGGGCGACTCCCACAGGCTCCCAATCCAAGCATTACATACTGACCAAGTGCCCGCGGCTGACGAATCTGAAAACACCTAACCATGACTGAACATTTCAATTCGGCTACCTGCTGCAGTCGCAACCAGGGGTGAAACCAGAAGGCAAAGTATCCATCACCCCAATAATCTGAGCCATGCACATCAATCATCCACACCCTGTAGCGCAGAACTCAGACTCAACCAGTTAACCTGAACTACTCACATGCCGGAAGCATCCTAAACCGTAATCCCTAAACTCATGGAAAATAAGACGAATTGGGAAGGACTCTTTGTTGCGCATCCTGGGACCGGACAGCCGTGCTCATGCGACGATGGGAGTCCGCCTTGCGCTGTGCTTCGGCCTCGAATTTCACTGCCCAAGCCTTCCCCTAAGGCTCCAAATAGCCCAATGTAGGTCATATTTATAGACTTGGGGCCCCATGTAGGTATAACTTATAGACATGGAGCACAAGGGTTTTGTCGTTGTAAACTTACCCATGGGCTTTGTCCTTGGCCTTATTTTCTTATCAACGAACCGTGCAGCCGTGGAGGCACTGACTTCTATTCACAGCATCAACTCCTGTCACTTTGCTGCCAGCTACACTTGAGAAAGTAAAGCCTGGGGACTCGTAAGTAGTAAGCAGTAGGCGGCAGAGTTGTTGGTGGTAGCTGTCGTTGTCGGGATTGTGTCGTCTTGGACGTGCTGTCCTGATCTCGGTGGTCCAGCCAACAGCGGTGGTGGAGGAGGCGGTAGCGGTGGTGGGCTCAGAAGCAGCAAATTGGCGTTGCACGGTGTTGCACAAACAGTAGCAATGCATGCAGGAATATGTGCAGCATCAGCGACGCTAACCTGCTCGAAAAGACCACATGGTTAGCCCGCGCATTCATGTCTGACATAGTAAACGCAACGTACAACAAAGCATTAGCACTTCAGGGTTGGCCACAAGTAAACGCTAAAGCCGAAACGCAGAAGAGGACACGGCCACTCCGCGCACAATTTTGCCAGATGCATCAATGAACAGAGACCCCTTGCCTGAGACACAGCCGCGGGAGCCCTAAGTAACCATATCTGCATGTCGGCCAGGACTTCAAATTTACCTGCGCGCCAGCATTTATCCTGTTGGGTTGGGGTTGCTCGGCCCTGAATGTCTTCTGATGGCTGAGGCAAGGTCGATTGCTGCCGCCGCGGCCTTTGCAGCTTGGTTGCAGGACGAAGTCTGTGCCTGAGTCTGCTTCATCCTAGGGGTGGGCTAAAAACCGAGGCAGACGTACTGTAACCATGTCACAATGTGGTGGAACTTGTACCTAAGAGGCCCCCTAAGGCACCCAACGCCGGCAAAAAGGCACCTCGCTGCGCTTGCATGCCCCAGTCAGCAAAAGGCACCCCAAATAGGCGGAAGCCGCCCCACAAGTAAGTAAATGACTTACCACGATCCCCTCAAAAAACAGAAAAATCGAGGAAACGCAGTGTCGACGCTCTCGAGAAACGTGCCGCGCGACAGAATACGATATACAAAAGATATGGTGCCACATGGGAATCCCCACTGTGACACGAGAGGCGCATTCCGCCTATGCGGGACGCCTTCACTTGAGTCAAGGACTTGTATTAGCATAATGTGCACTATGAGTCATGAGAAATTAGTGCACGGTGATATGTCATGTTGCGCAACGCGCTTGTAACTTGCATCTCTTCCTGGTTAGGGCCCCTGTTGCTGAAAGGGGGGAGCCCTGGCTCATCCAGTGATGCTTACAATCAACTGGGAAGGTTGTATTGCACGCCAAGATGGAATCTCCAAGTCGCCGCCTGCTTCACGGTACCTCTGTACAAGCCAAAAGCCATGCAATCTTTTGGAGTCTTCTGGTGCCCTGAAGCAATAAGGAATTTAAATGCACCCTTTACAAGCACGATCCTATATGCTTGACACGTCCATATCATGTACTGTATATTCCAGGTCCACATGTAAGGACTCCACAAAATCCGGGTACCCTCCAAAACTAAGGAACGCAACCCCGTAGTAAGAGCTTTAAAGCTAAGATATGATGATCCCACAAGGGCCCACGACCAAGAACCTGAACCCCGAAGCATACCTCACCCCCAAACCCTAAACCCTGAAGCCCCCAAGTGTCACAAGAACATCTTCACTGGCTGCAGGCCAAGAACTTCGACCGTAACCTGCCAGAATTGGATCAGATTCAGGAGTCCCCCATCATTCACGACCGTTTAGGGCTCTTGTTTTTACAGCCCCTCGGACTTTTGATGCCTGCCTGACTACGGTTTAGGGTTTAGGGCTTAGGGTGGGATGAAGTTAGCCTGGGACAATATACCCTTCAGCCTACCAATCCTCTGTCCCAAGAAGGCCACAAAAGGTTTGCGGTGGGACTTGAAGTGAGCCTCACGACTGTAATCCCTCTGGACCACTACTATTAATAATGATAATACTTTCTTTACATAATTCCTGCGGGCTATCGTTATACTGTCATACTATAACAAAAATGAAAAATGTCCAAAGGAGACTACAAATGCGGCAGCCTGCTTGAGACGGTTTCATTTGATCACTCACCTCAGTGCCTCAGAACCATAGAGCGCTAAAAACCCTAGAGACAATGTTAACAATACTACGACCGTAACCATCACAAAACTCAAGCTGAACAGCTGACGACAATTCCCATGATAAAGACTGCCAGGGGATAAGGGCTGGATTCTTGAAAGCGGTGCAAATTGTATACCCGGGCCTGCGGTACTTTCGCAGATCCTTACTTGCCTTCTCATGTAAATCTCTCAGGTCTCCTGGAAATTCTGAACAGCTTGGCACATCATCTTTCTCGCAACCTGTACGGTTAGCAGGCTCATCTTTTGCAAAGCTTCACTCAAGACTCATGGACCGACGTTCTCGTGATACACGGTACGCGGCTTGACCTTTTCAACCTGAAACCTTGCAGCGTGACAAGCGCCTGCTCGCGAACGACCTCGGCGCCAAAGCGCTCGACCTTTGTCTTCCAGTCCTTGACGTAGGCTTCCAGAGCCTGCAAGCCGCGGCGAAGAGTTCATCTATCCAAACCGAATGATTGGCCGTGGGGTCTCTAACAACAGGTTGAAGCTGAGACATGAACTTTAAATGTGCAGGCCTCACAATTCTCTGAACCCGTTGACCATACCCTCCACGAATGACTACAACTCCTCAAAAACCTTGACACAGGCATCTCAGCCCAAGCCCAAAAACAAGCCAGACCCTAAACCCTTATAAGTAGGGGTCGAAGCAATGTCCACCACCATCTTGACATTATGTATCTGCACTACCCTCTACCAAACATCCATAAGGAAGCTACTAGGACCATAATTAATGGTAATTATTTAAGCCCCTATAGTACCCCAAAGTCCCCCAAGCTCGGGGAAGACTTACGACCCCCCAGCCTCAGGTTCGCCTTTCTGAACGGGCGTCTGCCGTAGGGCGTCCTGCAGGCAGCAAGGCCTTCCAAACGCAGTATGAGAACTTCGAGGTTGGGAGGCTTCTGGATGCACAGGTTTCTCGAGATTATGCCTGGGCTCAGGTTTGGGGCTTCAAAAGCCTGTGCGTGGCGCACAGCTCAGAGCTCTAGGGGGAGCTGCAGCAACTTCATGTCTTTCAACACTGTCCGAAGCAAAGTAGCCTCAGCAACGCTCATCAGGAAAAATGTGTGAGAGCAAGAACCCTGTTTTGCATCCTCTAGATTTTTCGAGTGGTCCTCCTCTTCCTTCTCTGCTTGCTCCCGTCTTTCCTGCTCCTCGCGCTCGATCCGCGCCTGGAACAGCAAAACAGAATCGTGGCGAAAGGTGCCTTTCAGGCTGATCTTGGTCCCCATAATAAGGATTAATATAGTATATTAGGGTCTATATTGGGGTCCCATTAATTTGGGAAACTACCATATATCTTTTGGGCTGAGGAGCCAGTGCTGGTGTCAAATTGCTGGCCCCTTCCCCTTCAAGACCAAATTCCCTTTCCAAGCCCTAACGACGCTTCTTCAGGGTCACTGCCACTATTTCGAAAAGGAGACGCTGCAGCAC